ACGGCAGCTCCATCCACGGCTCCCGCGGCTCCATCCTGGGACTCGCGGAGTCGCTGTCGAACCGCACGAACTCCGTGTCGTCCACGTAGCTGACCGCGATGTACCGGGACTTCCCGCGGCCCGGTCCGGACGTGAAAGTACTGAAATATCTCCTGGTGTGGGTGCCTGGGGACAGGGAGGACGCGAGTCCTGGGTCCGCAGTCGGGCAGGGGACCCGGAGAAAAGGGTCAGAGGGGTGTGGAAGGGCGGGGGGTGGGGTCGGGCCCGAGGCGGGAGTCAGGGTCTGGGGTCCGAGCCGAGGGTGCTGCAGATACGCTGTCCCCGGGCCCTGCGCTCCTGCCGGGTTCCCTCGCTCCTGCCCAGCAGAGGCCATCCCTCCCGACCCACACTCACCTGCCCAGGTCTCGGTCAGGGTCAGGACCCCCAAGAGCAGCAGGAGCAGAGCTCGGGGCCCCATTATCCAGACCCTGCGAGTCTAGGAGAATAGGTTTCAGTATACAGTGACGCTGATTGGCTGCTCTAGAGTTCGGCCATCCAATGGAAGTGAGAACTGGTGTTGCGTCATGAGTATCCAGGTAGGAGGACCCGAAGTAATTGTGAGAGAAAGAAGGGGACTTCGGAACACCGAGCTCCCACCTGCGAGTCTCTGTCCTCAGGCTGAGACCCTGGAACCAGGTCTGGGGACCCGGGACTGTGCTTGGACCCCATCTCCTACACAGAGAACTCTGTCCCGCTGTCTCCCTGAGTCCCGGCCCACGTGCTGTGTTATTCAGCGACTCTCAAACATTTTGCTTTCAGAATATCCATATTGTCTTACAAATTAGGGAGGAACCCCCCCCATTTTTCTGTTTATGGGTGTTTTGTCTATTAATATTTACCATACAACAAATAAAACAGTTTAAAATTATTAGTCATTTTGATTGATATTAATAACCTATCACCTTAACAGAAATACTGTTTTTATGAAAAATAAGTATTTCCTAAATACACAAGATAGCGAGAGCAGTGGATCTGCTTACACTTTACATTTTGCAAGGCTCATTTACTGTCTGTATCACGATAAGACCCCTGGATATTCATATTGCTTCTGTGTTTAATGTATTATTTTGGTGGCAGTATATGAAAAAATCTACAGCCTCACACAAATGTGTAGGAGGAGCATTTTTAATAACCTTTTCAGATAAGTGTGGATTTTCATCTTGGATACTACACTAAAGCCACACAAGTGGTAGTTTCTGAAAAGCTCTTTGCAAAGTGGAACCTGAAACTACACCATTAAGTATTTCCTGTTCTGTTACATTGTTTGAATGGCTCTTATACTAATGTGTGATTATGTAAAAGTAATATATCGTTTCACTAATTAGGTGATAGAGATCTCCCAGAGTTGATGTACTTAATTACACAACATCAAAACATCACATTTGTTACTGTTACCAGAGATAGCCTCTTACAGCTGTCAATCTGTTCCATGTTTCCCTGGCTCTGGTTCTATTTGCTAGTTACTTTATTTTGTTTATTAGATTCCACTTATCATTGGTGAGATCATATAGTATGTCTCTTTCACCCATTAATTTATTTCACTTAGCATAATAGTCTGGTTTACATGGTGAGATACAAGTTTTCCAAAATCCTAGTTTTCTTCTGAGACCTTCCACTCTATCCAGACAAGTGCTTCAGGTATCAACTGCCCGTTGACTCTCCTTGAGGGAGAAGCTCATGTTCATTTGAGAGAGTGTTCTCCAGTTCACCACACCTCAGTCATCACAGCTTCTGTGTCTCTCATTCTCTTAAGTGAACTTGCTGTTTCATGAAGAAGAGGCTGACTCAGCCCTCACAGGTCACTTTCCTGGGCTCATGGTACTTGGGAATGTAGCAGAGTGTGTTTGTGTACTTTCCCAGTCATCATGGGAGACATTTTATTTTTTGTTCCCCATTTTCACTAAGGACAGTTAAGAAATTAATCTATCTATATAATGAATTTGATATATGCTGTATATATCTTCTTGTAAAAATATTTTTTATTCCATTGCAGTGGATATACAGAATTATATTAGTCAGATGTACAGCTCTGCAGACCTGAAAAACAGATGAAGATCAATGGATCAGAAGCAAACCAGTGTCTCTATGGTCAATTAATATTTGACAGAAGAGAGCAAAGTGGGGAAACTGGGACAACTGCAATAGAACAACAGTAAATTATTTAATTAAAAAATTTCTCCCCTGACTGATGTGGCTCAGTGGATTGGGCACCAGCCTATGAACCAAAAGGTTGCCTGTTCAATTCCTACTCAGGGCATGAGCCTGCATTGTGGGCCCAGTCCCTGGATGGGGACATGCAAGAGGCAACCACACACTGTTGTTTCTGTCCCTCTCTTTCTCCCTCCCTTCCTCTTTCTCTGAAACATAAATAAATAAAATCTTTTAGGAATTCTCTCTTTGAATTTAATCTTCAGCATTTTAATTATGATGTGTCTCGGTGTGGGACTTTTTCGGTTCTTCTCCTTTGGGACTCTGCACTTTCTGGAATGCATGTCTACTTCCTTCACCAGGTTAGGGAAGTTTTCCATCATTAATTTTTTAAATAGCTTTTTATCTTTTTTTGGTAGATGCACTTTGCAGCCATTTGTCAGCCTGCATGCATCAGGGCAGGGGCTGTGGTGTTTTTCATTGTTATTCTATTGCAGTTGTCCCAATTTTTCCCTTTTGCCCTCCTCCACCCAACCTACTCCTCACTCCCACAGTCAATCCCCACACCACTTTCCATGTTCATGGGTCACTCATATGTTTTTTGATTAATCTCTTCCCCCTCTCCCACCATTCACCCCTCCCTCCTCTACTTTTAGAGCTGTCAGTCTGTTTCATGTCTCTGATTCTATTTTGCCTGTTACTTTATTTTGTTCATTAGATTCCATTTACAAGTGAGATCATGTGGTACTTGTCTTTCACCAGTTGGTTTATTTCACTCAGCATAATAGTTTCCAGTTCCATCAATGCTGTCACAAAAGGTAGTAATTCCTTCTTTTCGACTATGTAGAATTCCATTGTGTAAATGTACCACAATTTTTCAATCCACTCATTTACTGGTAAGCCCTTACACAGTTTCCAACACTTGGCTATTGTAAATAGTGCTGCTATGAACACAGGGGTACATAAATTCTTTTGAATTGGTGTCTTGAGGTTCTTAGAGTATATTCCTGGCAGTGCAATCACTGGGCCATAAGGAAGTTCCATTTTAAATAGGGTTTCAATAACTTATTCTCTATTTTCTTTTCTTCACACCAGCACGATACAAATGTTAGTATACTTGACATTGTCCCAGAGGCTCCTTATACTATCCTAATTGTTTTTGATTCTTTTTTTCTTTTTGCTGTTTGTGCTGCATGTTTTCTGCTTTCTTATCTTCCTAATCTCAGATTTTATCCCATGCTTCAACTACTCAACTGTTGCTTTGCTGTAATGTATTCTTCATTTCAGTTATTGTAGTTTTCATTTCTGTTTTCTTTATGTTTCCTATCTCTTTGTTGAAGTTCACACTGAGTTCATCTACTCTCCCCCTAAGTTCATTGAGCAGTTTTGTAACTCTGCATTGAGTGTTTTGAACTCTGCATCTGGTAGATTGCTTATCTCCATTTTGTTTAGTTCTTTTTCTGGAATTTCATTCTGTTCTTTCATTTGGGTCATATTTCTTTGTCTCCTCACGTAGGCAGCCCTCCTGTATTTGTTTCTACTGTTAGGTAGAGCTGCTCTGTCTCTTGGTCTTGGTGGAGTGTTCTAATGCAGTAGGTGTCGTGTAGGGCCCAGAGGTGCAGCCTCCCTGGTACCCAGCCTAGACATTTCAGGTGTGATTCCTCTTATGTGCACCCTCCTGTTGCAGTTGAGTCATGACTGCTGTTGGCAATGGGAGGGATTTACCACAGGGTGATGGGCTGGGAAGACGGGTTGAGACCAACTCGGGGGCTCTGGTGCCTGCTGAGGCTATCCCTTGACTGTGTTGCTGTGGAGGTGGTTTGGTGTTGCTTTGGTGTGGTCGGAAGCTGTCCACCAGGTGTGCTGGCTTGGGAAGCTCTTGCAAGGTACAGGCCAAAGTCAGCCACAACCTGTGCACTGCCCAGAACCACATGGCATGAGCTACAAAGTGATCTGCAGATAGGTGCTACTTGTGTTGGGCTTGGACATGACTAGGAGAAGCCAAGCTGCTAACCAAGCTGGCTGTCTTTAGTGCCGGGCCTGTGGCTACTTAGCTGGAGACCAGGGGCACGCCTAGGCTAGATGCAGCTTGTCTGAGACATTTTAGGAAGGTCTGCAGCATGAGCCAAGACAGGCTGTTTGTATAGGAAAACCACTGGAAGAGGTCTGGATGGTCTGGCAAGTTGGGTGGGGCAGAGCTTCAGGGAATCACCAGGGCAGGTGAACAGTGTAAGCCAGGTGGATGGAGACTCAGATATGGCACCTGCCTGTCTGCTCTGAGAGAAGAAGGCTCATCAAAAGAACAATGGCCTCAGAGACACTGGTTCGATTCTCAGTCAGGGCACATGCCTGGGTTGCAGGCCAGGTCCCCAGTAGTTGTGTGAGAGGCAACCACACATTGGTGTTTCTCTCCCTCTCTTTTTCCCTCCCTTCCCCTCTCTAAAAATAAAAATAAAATAAATACCTTTAAAAAAAGAAAAAATGAAATACTGCCATTTGTGTAAACATGGATGGACCTTGTAAATATCATGCTAAGTGAAATAAGTCAGTGAGAAAAAGCTAAGAACCCTATGATGTCACTCACATGTGGGACATAAACCTGACACTCATAGACACAGACAGTAGTGTGGTGGTTCCCAGAGGGAAGGGGGTTGGGGGAGGAGGGGCCGAATATATGGTGAGGGAAGATGGTTTGACTTTGGGTGGTGGGTACACAGTGCAATACAGGGATCCTGTATTGTAGAAATGTGCACCTATACAATCCTATTAGCCAATGACACACCAATACTATTAATAAGAACACACCCCAATCATTTAATAAAAATACTCCAATAATTTAATTAAAAAACAAAAATAGGTATAATATTTACAGAAACAAAGAAGCTATAAAAATACCCAAAACATAGGGGTTGTGGACCAGACTCAGGCCTGAACCCAGGCTGACACACCCACAGGAAGCCCTCACTGAGCACAGTCCTGGAGCCACAACAAGGCCCGGGACTCAAGTCCTTGGGATCCCAGGCCTGGTGGGACAAGGTTCTCCTGAAGCAGCTAAGGCAATAGAGCAACGATGATCCAGACGAGAAATGACCAGGATGGGGATGGCTTCACCCCAACTCGGCTAGGACAGGTCAGTCCCCAGAGAAGAGGATGCAAGTACCTCTGGGGAGGGTGGCCTGGTGACCAGCCTTTCACATGATGCTGATAAGAATGCAGATGTGTTGTGATGTTGGTGGCAGAAACAGCAATCAGGGACCCTTAAAGTCCCAAGGGGAGGCTTCAGTGACTGTGTTACCACCAAGTCCCGTAGAAAGCAGCTCTGTCACTCTGGGAAAGAAAGTTGTCATGAACAAATTCAGGTTGGTCTCAGAAGTGTCACATTCTCCCACAGCCACCTCATGCTCAGAATGTCTCACTCTGGGAGTCCCGAAAACACAGCTGTGCCCCTCAGTCAAAATGTCCCCTACTTCCTGCCCTCAGGGTCTCACCTTCAGAAACTGTGAGAGACACATCAGAGCCCTGGGCACTGTCGCTGTCTGGGGAAGACACAACAGCAGAGTTATGGGGTGGGGGAGCCCCCCTCACAGACTCCAGTCCACACTCTTCCAAGGGTCCCAGATGTGACCTCCCCAACACCCAGACTTACAGGCAGCCTGAGTGTAGCTCTCCCTGCCTCTGCCTGTGGGAAGAAAACCTGTGAGAAGTCAGGGGGAAGGTTGAGTCCTGTGATCCTAAAGGAGCCCCATACTCCTGAAGCACAGGGAAGGTTCCAGAACTGTGACTGAACACCCAGGGTAGGATCAGGAAATACAGGGAAGTACATGTGTGGGAATTAAACCTACCACCACTCCAGACATCTGTCCTCAGCAGGGACCTTCCCCTCTGACCTGTCACAGCTGGTATTCAGTCCCCATCACTAGAACCATCAGGTGATAAATGTGTCCCTCACTTTCCCATGGGCCTCACTAAAGAGTCAGTGTTAGCAAACACGCCCCAGATGGACAAGCACCCGTGTGGGGACATGATGCCCATTAAGGAGGCAGAGCACACTTCCACCTGGGCTTGACCCCCAGGAGACAGGAAACTCAGCCCCACCCCTTGCCCACCTGAGCTCTTCTTCCTCCACAGCACAGCTGCAATGACCACAGCTCCAAGGAGACCCAGGGCAGCAGCGATGCCCACAATGGTGATGGTGGTCTGAGGATGGGGGTCTGAGAGGGGAAGGTGAGAGGCCAACCTCAGGCCTGAGTCCTGACCCTACTCAGGGGCACCCTGAGGAGGGGCTCTGTGCCCACCTCCCCTCCTCACCCCATCTCAGGGTCAGAGGCTCAGGCAGCCCCTGGTGCCGCACATGGCATGTGTATCTCTGCTCCTCTCCAGGGGGCACAACCAGAGCAGCCCACTTCTGGAAGGTCCCATCCCCTGCAGGCCTGGTGTCCACCAGCTCCATGTCCTGGGTCAGGTCCTCTCCATCACGCTGCCAGATCAGGGTAATGTCCGCAGGGTAGAAGCCCAGGGCCCAGCACTTCAGGGTGACCTCATGGTCAGAGATGGGGTGGTGGGTCAGGTGTGTCTTTGGAGGGTCTGAGGAGAGGGTGAGAAAATTCGGGAACTTTGCATGGTCATGGGACACTCCAGCAGTTCTCATGTGACTACCGTGAGAGTGGACAGGACAGTGGGGTGGGGGAAGGGAGAGCAACACCCAGACACCAGCCTGGACAGAGGCACCTAAGTATGGGGAGAAGGCAGGATACTAGTGTCCAGGTCTCTAAGGGGAGACACAGACTCAGGGGGAGGCTGAATGACTCAGCAAACCCGGAGTCAGGCCTCCAGAGGTCCCAGCCCCAGAACCAGGGAGAGTGTCCTGGTGCACCAGGTGCTGCAGGGTGTGAGGGAACAACTGTGGGGTGTTTCAGGAAGAGTCTGGGTCCCTTATTGTCCTTTAGAGAAAACTGGGCCCATGTGTCAGTCACAGAATAAGGACACCTGGGGAACTCTTCCCTCTCCTGAGCAGGAGGGACATTCTGTCCCTGCCCCATTTCCCTCCTCTCCTTGTAGGAAGCCGCCCCAGCCCACAAGTCCCCTCCTCAGGGAGGCCCCGACCTGGTACCTGCTCGGAGCATCTTCTCCTTCTCCTTCTCCAGGAGCAGGAGGAGCCAGCGCACACAGGTGACCTCCAGTTCCCTCCTCCAGTAGTCCAGATCAGCGACTTGCACCACCTTGCGCCAGGTGATCTGGGCGACCATGTCGGTTGCAGTCCAGGAGCGCAGGTCCTCGTTCAGGGCGAGGTAGTCAGTGCCATCGTAGGCGAACTGACTGAACCCACGGAGCAAGCGACCATCCGACCCCAGGATGCAGCCCCTCATTTCCTGGAAGGTGTGAGACCCTGACCCCGACCTGCGGTCAGCCCCTTCCACTTACCCCTTGCACCTGTTCAGAACCTCGGGGTGACCCTGAGACTCAGGGTGCCCCCGACCGGAGGTCAGTTCTCTCTAGTTATTACCATACGGAGGACCGTCTGGCCCAGAGCAGACCAGTCCGGACCCGACCCGCGGTGATGAAACCTGAACTGAAAATGAGCAACCTCGGGGTGAATCTCAAATTCGGACGCTGGAGGCGATCCTGCCCAGGTCCCCGTAGCGCCTGACTCACCGTCCTCGCTCTGGTTGTAGTAGGCGCGCAGGTTGTTCACGTTCCCTCCATACATGTTTTCGTAGTTTTTGATGTCCCACGTGTAGTCGTCCCAAAAATGTGGATGCTCCTGCTCCACCCACGGATGCTTCAACCACGGCACCCGCGGCTCCAGCCTCGGCTTCGGGGCGTCGCTGTCGAACCGAGCGATCTCCGTGTCCTCCGCGTAGCCGACGACGATGTACCGGGTTCCGCGGCCCGGTCTGGAAACGCAGGTACTGAATATTCTCAGGCTGTGAGGGCCTAGGGAGGGCGTAGAACGCACGTCCTGGGTCCTAGGCGGTGAGGCTAAGGGGTCAGGGGTGCGGGGAACGGAAAAGGGGGCAGTGATTGAGAGGAGGTGCAGGCGTCAGAGGTCGAGGGTCTGGGTGGAGGGCGCTAGAGACGCGCCGTCCCTGGGTCATGAGCCCCCGCCCTGGGTCGAGATCCCCTCGCTCCTGCTCCGCACAGGCAGTCCCTCCCAACCCGGCACTCACCCGCCCGGGTCTCGGTCAGGGCCAGGGCCCCGGAGAGCAGCAGGAGCAGCGATCTGTGCCCCATGTGTGCCTGAGAGTGTGGGGAGAATTGAGTTCCGGGTGTAGTCGAGGACTTTATACTCGGACCTACGGCGACGCTGATTGGCTGCTCTACATTTGGGACACCCAATGGAAATGAGAACTGCTGTGGCATCATGTGTATCCAGGGTGCAGGACCAACGTAGTTTTAAAGAGACAAAAGTGAAATTCCGAACAATGAGTAAGTATCCATGTCATAGGCTGGGCCAACTAGGTCCCGGGCTGAGACCCGGGGAGCCAGACCTGGGAACCCGGGATTTTGCCCAGACCCTCTTCCTGCATGGAAGATTCTTTGTCGCACCGTCTCCCGGAGTCCCGACCCACAGACTGTTTTATTCAAATATTTTTGAATTTAGAACATCTACACAGTCTTGCAAAATAGGGAGAACCCCCAAAATGATTTTGTTTGTGTGCGTTATACCTATCAATATTTACCACAGAAGGAAAAAAGTTTGAAAAATTCATTTAAGAAAACCTTACTAACCTATGACATGCTGACAGAAATAATGTTTTTATGAAAACAACTATTCCCCAAATACACAACATACTGAGAGCAGTGAATCTCTTAAATTTTATGTTTTTGCAAGTGTCAGTTCTTGTCTGTATGATTAGAAGACCGCTGGATTTTCATATTTGCTTCTGTGTTTAATTTGTTACTTTGGTGGCAGTATATGAAGAAATATATAGCCTCACAGAAATATGTAGGAGGAGCATTTTTAATAACCTTTTCATACAAGTGTGGATATTCATTTTGGATCATACATTAAAGCCACATAAGTGGTAGTTCCTGAAAAGCTCTTTGCAAAGTGAAACCTGAAATAAATTCATTGAGTACTTTCTATTCTGTTACGTTGCTTGAGTGGCTCTTGTACTGATGCAGGATTATTTGAAAGTAATTCCTTGTTTCATTAAGTGAGAGAGATTTCCCAGTGTTGTTGCATTTAATTGCACATGATCAAAAATCACAATTGTTAACATTACCACAGACCCCACTGGAAACGGTTGTCAGCTCTGGGAAGCTGTCTGGCTGCGGTCGTGAGACACATGTTGGCCAGAATCCTGGTTTTCCTCTGAGAGCTTCCATTCCATCCAGACAACAAGTGCTGTCAGGTGTCAACTGCCCATTGACTTTTTCTTTTTTAAAATATATTTTATTGATTATGCTATTATAGTTGTCCCATTTCCCCCCTTCACTCCTCTCCACCCTGCACACCCCTCCCACCCACATTCCCCCCTTAGTTCATGTCCATGTGTTATAAGTTCTTTAGCTTCTACATTTCCCATACTATTCTTACCCTCCCCCTGTCTATTTTCTACCTACCATCTATGCTACTTATTCTCTGTACCTTTTTCCCCTCTCTCCTCCTCCCACTCCCCTGTTGCTATCCCTCCATGTGATCTCCATTTCTGTGGTTCTGTTCCTGTTCTAGTTGTTTGCTTAGTTTCCTGTTGTTTTAGGTGTGGTTTTTAATAACTGTGAGTTTGCTGTCTTTTTACTGTTCATATTTTTTTATCTTCTTTTTCTTAGGTAAGTCCCTTTAACATTTCATATAATAAGGGCTTGGTGATGATGAACTCCTTTAACTTAACCTTATCTAAGAAGCGCTTTATCTGCCCTTCCATTCTAAATGAGAGCTTTGCTGGATAGAGCAATCTGGGATGTAGGTCCTGGCCTTTCATGACTTGGAATACTTCTTTCCAGCCCCTTCTTGCCTGCAAGGTCTCTTTTGAGAAATCAGCTGACAGTCTGATGGTAATTCCTTTGTAGGTGACTGTCCCCTTATCTCTTGCTGCTTCTAGGATTGTCTCCTTTAATCTTGGGTAATGTAATTATGATGTGCCTTGGTGTGTTTCTTCTTGGGTCCAACTTCTTTGGGACTCTCTGAGCTGCCTGCACTTCCTGAAAGTCTATTTCCTTTGCCAGATTGGGGAAGTTCTCCTTTATTATTTTTTCAGGTAAGTTTTCCCCTTGTTGCTCTTTCTCTTCTCCTTCTGACACCCCTATAATTTGAATGGTGGAATGTTTAAAGACGTCCTGGAGGTTCCTACACCTCTCCTCATTTTTTTGAATTCTTATTTCTTCATTCTTTTCTGATTGTATGGTTTTTTTTCTTCCTTCTGGTCCCCTCCATTGATGTGAGACCCAGTTTTCTCTACATCACTGTTGGTTCCCTGTGCATTTTTCTTCATTTCACTTAGTGTAGCCTTCATTTTTTCATCTAATTTGTGACGAAAATCAACCAGTTCTGTGAGCATCTTGATCATCAGTGCTTTGAACTGTGCATCTGATAGGCTGGCTATCTCTTGGTTGCCTTAAACATATTGGCCCTGAGGCATTCATTTGTTCTTTGGTTTGAGCCATCTTTTTTTTTTTTTTGGTTTGTTCAGGCCCCTTATGTATGAGGGGTGGAGCCTTAGGTGTTCACCAGGGCAGGGCAACCAAGTTGCTGGATTGTGACTGCTGTGTGTGGGGCGGGATCAGAGAGGGAACATAGGTGATTGCTCCACTCTCTGCTGGGTTTCAGTCACCTCCCCTGCTTCCCACAATCAAACTGGGCCCTCCTGGTGCTGATTCCCAGGTGGGTGGGTTTGTGTATGTTCTAGGATCCTGTGGGTCTCTCCAAGGAACTTTCCTGTGAGGCTGGGAGTTCCTGCTCCCCCTTCATTTTGCCTGGTGTATCTGCCCATGAATGTGGGTCCTTCAGTGAAAAATGAAAGCTTTGCTAATCTGTTTTCACCTGAAAAGTTTCTGTTGCGATATCAGTTGACAGTCTTACCAGAGCTCCCTTGTAGGTAACTAACTTTATCTTGGTGCTATTAAAATGATCTCCTTGCCTTTCATTTTTGGCATTTTAATGATGTTTCTTGGTGTGGCTTTTTGGGGTTCATCTTGTTTGGGACTTTGCAGTTTCTGGACTTGTATGGCTACTTCTTTCATTACACTAGAGAAATTTTCCAAATCATTGTTTAAAAATTAGGGTTTTGATTCTTTACTTTCTCTCTTTTGGGCAGCAGCATGATGCAAATATGGGTATGCTTGAAGTTATTCCAGAGGCTCCTTATACTATCCCCAATTTTTTGTGTTTTTTTTTCATTTTTCTGTTCTCATTGAGTGTTTTCTGCTTATCTTCTCAAACACTTATTTCATCCTGTGCTTCATTAACTCTACTGTTGATTCCCTACAACAAGTTGTTCATGTCAGTAATTGAATTTTTCACTTATAATGTTTTGTAATGTTTTCTATCTCCATTTTTATGTGCCCTATCTGTTTGCTGAGCTTCACACTGATGCCATCTACTCTTCCCCTGAGTTCACTGAGCATCCTGAGAAGCAGTGGTTTGAACTCTGCATATGGGAGAATGCTTGTCTCCATTATGTTCAGTTTTTTCCTGTAGTGTTGTTCTGTTCTTTCATTTGAGGCATGATGCTTTGCTTCCTATTTAGACAGCTTTCCTGTGTTTCTTTCTGTGTGTTAGATAGAGCTGCTGCATCTCCTAGTCTCTGTAGAGTGTCCTCATGCAGTAGATGTCCCAGAGGGCTCAGTGCTGCAGCCTCCCTGGTGACCCAACCAGGGCACATTTGGTGCACCCCGTTGTGGGCAGTGTATGGTTATGTCAGGATTGCTGTTGGCAATGGAAAGGATTTATGTCCAGGCTGATCAGCTGGGAGGACTGGCTGCAACTACTGTGGAGGGTCTGGTGCCTGCTGAATCTGCCACCAAACACACTTGCGTGTTTCTGTGAAGGTGGTTGAGTGATGCTTTCTCATGGTCTGAAGCTGTCCATCAGTGGTGCTGGCTGAGGGTCCTCTTGGGAAGTGCAGGCACAGTCAGCTACCACCTATGCCCAGCCTGGGGCCAACCAGCATGAGCTACCAAGCAATCTGCAGATGGCTGCTCCTTGTGCTGGGCTTGGAGGTGCCTGGGGGAGGGCGGGGGCAAGCTGCAAATCAAGGTCAGCTGCCAGTAGCACCAGGCCTGGGATCACTTAGCTGGAGGTACAGGGCATGCCTAGGCCAGATACTGCTTGTTTGAGACACTTTAGGAAAATCTGTAGCATGAGCCAAGACTGGCAGTTTGCTTGGAAATATCACTAGAAAGGGTGACAGATTACCCATAAGTCGGGTGGTGTGGGGTTTAGGGAATCATCAGGGTGCAGCAAAGACTGTGAGCCAGGGTGATGGAGACTCAGATATGGTGCCCACTTGCCAGCTCTGAGCAGTGAAGGGCCCAGGAAGGGCCCAGGAAAGACAATGTTCTCTGAAATACTTGTGTCTGGGAGACAGCTGGCCCTCAGCTCTCACTCTGATGCCAGATAATCCAGTTGCCCCCCCTATGTTCCTGGTTCCTTTTGAGCTGCTGTCCCAGCACTAGAGCTCAGAGCAAGTCCGTGGGTGTGCAGGCCTTTAAGAGGAACTGCCTGGGATTCCAGAGCCTGTATGTCACTCAGCCACCATCACTGCTAGTTCTTCCAGCCAGAAGTTGTAGAGAACTAACCTCCTGCCACAGAAACTCTGGGCTGAGGAACTTCATTTAGGGCTGGGGTGCCTCATTCCTCAGGGGCACCTCCACAGCTGAGATACCCCTTTTGATTTTTACCAGCCCGATGTAAGTGTGGGACCGGCCTGCTCTGCATCTGCCCCCTCCTATCAGTCTCAATGTGATTACTTTCATTCCCTCGTTGTCGGGCTTGTGTTCAGCTCGATTTCAGGTTGTTCTGAATGGTGGTTGTCTGTAGTGAAGTTGTGATTTTTCTGTGGTCCTGGGATGATGAAAATACTGCATTTACCTACACAGCCATCTTGACGGGAAGCTAACATATTTTGCAAATGTTTATTTAAGGATTATGATTTAGCAAAGATAATACTTTTCAATCCCTTGGCTGTGTGGTTCTAAAGTGATGCTTGTTTTGTTTTCTTGTCAGTGAGGAGTGGTGGTAAAGAATGCCTGCTTAGCAGTTGGGTGTCTCAGCCTCCATTCTTGCTAAGTTTACCC